ACCTCGAACGGATAATACTTGATTACCGAGAAATCTCATCGCAATTATCTCGATTGGTACAAATAATAGTTACTCGGAGACTCGCGCTTCAATTAAAGCGAATGAAAGCAATGTAATATGTTTCATTAGTGAAGAGTCCGGCTAATGCGTCATCCAATGAAGAGGTCGAACGATGAATAAAAGATGGCAGTAGTTCCTCCATTTCTTCGCGAATAAACACGAAATCCAAGTGGGAAATGAAATTACATTTCCGCGGCTGTGTGTTCGGGCACACACCTCAAAGCACCGTGAAATCCGATTAATCATTTAAATCCCGGGATGAAACACTTAGATACTAATTCTGCCGTTTGTGTGCTGTTCCAACGAATTTGTATAACCTGGCAAAGCAGAGTTACATTTCTCTCCTACGCGTTCACTCGCATTCTCCCTCTCTTTCTCTCTCCCTCTCTCTCTCCCTCTCTCTCCCTCTCTCTCTACCTCTCTCTCTTCCTCTCTTTCTCTTCCTCTCTCTCTCCCTCTCTTTCTCTTCCTCTCTCTTTCTCTCCCTCTCTTCCTCTTCCTCTCTCACTCTATCCCTCTCTCTCGACCTCTCTGCTTACGTTCTCATATTCATGTGTTTACAATTACACAATATAAGCTAAGCAAAATTTTATGAGAACTCAGAGAATATTATCTTGAATACGAGGAGAATTAACTCTTGTGTGGTAGAGCACATAGAAACTAATCGTTTGGACTCGATGCCGTTTTAACTCCAAATCTAAAATACCTTTTTCGACCTACAGTATTTATTGAAATTGAGTCTTGTAACTCGTGCAACACTAGTAATGCCTCAGAATTACCACACAAATGCAAAGGATCAACAATATAAATATTTAACTCCTTAAGTGCTGGCTAAAATGCGAAAGTATAGCAGAAGAAATATCTGCACTTTATATTATTTGTATAATTGATAAATTGTAGTTCATCCGATCTGTGGTGTCGAAGATAGTTGCTTATGATTATTTGGAAGATATAATAATTGTTCTTTATCCGTTAACTTTCTTCAATTTTCTTACTCTGCACTGTCCACGCCCCCAAAATCATTTGTAATAGGCCAGGTTGTACGTATTTGTGTCTCCAGCATTACTCCCTGTAGGTCTACCGAGCAATTCAGATCGCTCTAATTGCGCGTCTCCGGGGTGAATGTAGGAGGACCAGGTGGATTTACCAGCTACACCGATATCCACAAGTATTTGTAGAATTCTGAATTTCATATAATATTATTATTTACCTTGCGTCGTTATTACCGTTCGAATTTATTTTACAGGATTTGTTTCACGGTGAGTTTCGGAATGATCTTTTTCAACTGTACACGTTCGGACACGTCTAGAAACTGGATTATATTTTCGGTCGCCACTGTGTCGTGAATCTATCGTACACGAGTTATTTTATATCTAATTTATAACAGTGATTTGGTTTAATCCTCATATATTCTCAAAGTCCACTATTCAGAAATTGCACTTTTTGTCGTTATCATTTATTTAGAATTAAACGTTTTCCCCATTCATTTCTCTCGCAATGCAATTAAAAAGGTGTCTGCTATATTTTAGCAGTGAACAATATTTTCATGGTCAGCATCAGCACAAGAATAATAAATAAATCGGCCATTGAAATCATCAGATGCAGTTTCGTGGAAGGCTGCAAATTACTTCGAGTTATATACGAGTGTTAAAAGCTCGGTTTCTGGTCATTTCACTTCTTCTATTTTCAATCGACATATCGAGGTCGAAAAATTTCGTCTCGTATTATACTTAACAGATCTAGAAAGGGAGAAGAGCCGAGCAAAACTATTTTAAGAAGGACTTCCAGAATGGTTTCTCTTTTTCAATGTCCGGCCCTACGAACTTCTCCTTCACGTGATCCCTACTGTTCGAATGCTCATGCAGGTTCCTCGTTTATGGGACAATCGTATAGAAACTGTGCTGGGTAAAATTTTATTTCACGTAGAAAATGATTCACTGAAAACAATCCGCAGTAAAATAGCTATTACTCTTAACCCTTTGGAATCTATCGGGACATATGTGTCCCATCTATGTATTTCGTATGCCTATTGGAAGAAATATATCTCGTTTTTCCACAACACACGAATATGCCAGTCTTAGAAAGCATACCACGCACATATTTGTTTACATGTAATCAATGGGACACATATGTCCTAGCCCTTAGCGTCTAAAAGGGATAACCTTCGCTAATAAAATCAACCTTTCTTGTTATTAGCATCTACGTATACGTAAACCTTGACTTCGGATATAACGCAAATTAACGAAAAATAAATCAAACTCCAAAGGGTTAAAAGGACCCGGCTGCAAAATTTCTTCCAAAAAATTTTCATCGCGACTGGTAGGACGAACTATGTGTCGCAAAATTATTTTCTGTGTCGCATGATGAACTTCTTGGAACTGTGAAACTACAAATGAACCACAATTTCTTGTTCCAGTGTTCATTTGTAATGGATAAAACATCTGAGATGAAAAATCATAAAATCAGAACGACTTATTTAATACTAGATTTTCGGAGCACAAAAAAAACAGCTGTTTTATATTGGTTTATAAAAGTAACAATAAGACATCTATTTTGATTTTTAACAAGTGTTATCGTAACATTTGCCGTAAGTAACATATAAATTGAATAAATGACTCAATAAATGCATCTTCACGACACGAATAATCGTAAATTAAAAAATTAGTGACCCGTCATTTTGACGGGTTCCGTAAATCCAGTATTAACGAAGTAAACTGATCCCGATGAAATTCGATAAATCGAATCCATCGTTGCAAAAATTAATTTTTCGACGCGAATGGTTATTATACCTACCGTAACCTTAATGTACATACAATAGGCGGGGGGTGGTCGAATACAGCGAATGCGAAGTTTCCCGAGGCCGGCACGATTCTTTCTTCAACCGGAGCATAGATCCGCGATCAATAGACAATTCTTATCGATGTGCATACACACACAGAGTTTAGCTGCAACGTCCACTTCTTGCTCACCCCGACTCCAGTGGGCAATGTAAATACTTTGGTATGCGTGTGCCTACTTCTGATATATTGTTATCGTATATATATACATATATATGTAATATGTACATGTATATATATATACGTATATATGCATACATATATATCTATATAGATATACCGTGTATTGTACAACTGTACCTTGAATGACTGAATACGAAGAAAAGAGATGAACACAAATTTAACACGTTAAACTAATTGTCAATTACATGGAGTTTTACACGATGCGTACACGATGTAACGAAGCGAGGGGATAACGGAATAAGAAATAGAAGGCGACGAACGAGGAAAGGAGGAAAGAACTGAATCGAAGGGGGAGGCAAGATTTACGGGGCGAAGGTACGTTGTTACGAATATTATAGATGTGTAATGTATGGCCTGTGCATAATTCTAAATTAGGTACAATCAAAGTAATTTCCGTAGGCCTATACACGTACATGTAATTGCGTATGTAATCAGCGGACGAGATGGAAACGGAAACAGAAATCTTATTCGAAACCTAGGTAACGTAGCCGGGTAAAGTACTACTTTGTTCCTTCGGGTACACGGTGGTTCTGTTTTATTTTCTGAAACGAAAAAGGGTTTGCGATCGGGCGCTCTCCTTGCAGAGAGAGAGAGAGAAAGAGAGAGAGAGAGAGAAAGAGGGAAAGAGAGAGAGAGAGAGAGAGAGAGAGAAAGAGGGAAAGAGAGAGAGAGAGAGAGAGAGAGAGAGAGAACAATGGGAAAAGCTGGCCGAGTCTCGCATTTTTCAAGCTAGTATTTTACTCGACCGTGACTACAAGCATGTAACCGTTTATCGTAACGATATTAAATGGATTGTAAATCAAATTGGAATATTAATATCGTGTCTATTGGTATGTTTCACCTGTGACCTTTCACGCTCCAGTCCCTTCTCCGACCGCGTCCTAGGAAATGATTTATCGTGGTATGGACGAGATAAGCGTGTTTCGCTTATTCTATTTATTTATTGCGTATGTACAGTTACAGTTCATATGTATAAATAACACGGTGTACCGATCGGTATATATTACTCCATTGTTCGCGCGAGGATGCACGAACGTACAGGCGAATCGATGGATCAGCTCTATGGTGCAGGTTATGACCGCGTGCGGTCATTGAGCTATGATGCCATTGTATATTGTTTTGGACCCGCCTCATTACCACGTATTCGCTAATTCGGACGGCCAAATGGAACGGTAATTTTGTTACGAATATAATTTGCTTATAGAAAGAGTACGAAACGTTTTCTGGAATTTGTGTACTAGCGACCATAACACGGGTATTATGCATTTGTGGCGAAAGCAACGGCGTGGAATTTCGAAGTTATTTTCATGTTGTACAGAGATCCGCAGTGTCTGCCGATTCGTACTCACGTTCTTATTTTAACACGCAGTGCATAAATGTTGTACCTCAGCAGAGAATATATACTGAGTAAAATCGATGTAATTTTGCAAGGCTTATACAAATTTTGTATAAAATAATAATTACAAAAAATTAACAGAGCACACTAAGAAATGAATGTTTTACTTATTAGAAATATTAAGAAAATGAACTTTTATAATATATAATTTTAAATATATATAATATAATATATATAATATTATATTATATATTTAATAATTAATTATATATTATATTAATATTATATTATTAAATAAATAATTATATATATAATATAATATAATAATATATAATTGCTTGACACTATAAGAGTTAAATTTGACCTATGCACTTTTGTTATATACCCGTAAAGTTGGCAGACCAATAACGCCATCCGAATTTTTACGAATACAGTAATGTCTCTCTAATTGACGCTTAGATCGTCCACGAAAATGGACAATTTGGGGAGTGGAGATACGATTATTCGAGCTTTGCGGCTCGTTTTTATAGTTACAAACTATCAACAACTATAAAAACGAACCGCAAGGCTCGAATAATCGCATCTCCTCTCTCCAAATTGTTCATTTTTGTGCACAATCTGTGCGTCAGTTAGGGAGACATTACTGTACAACGAATTGTTTAGAGAAAGATTTATTAGAAACGAATTGCTTGCAGCTTGATTTCGTCGCAAACAATGGTCCCATAGTGCTCTGAATTCGAAGCGCCGATCACGCATACGTCGATGCATCCATTACGAAATTAAATAATATTCGGCGTCGGGCACCTATAGTTAATTCAAATCGATTATGATAAACGTTCGAAATATTTACAATTACAGATGTATATCTCGAAGCATCCGCCACGTTCCTCCGTTCGAATCGAGGGATGCTTTGTTCGGAATTTCAATCGTGCACACGGAACGCGCGTTTTAAATAAATTAATGGCATAATTTATGTTCGTTATATATCTAGGAATGGAGTGATAAGGAATTTTCGATGTTATACAATTAATACGCTAGCCGGATGCGCACGTTCGCCGTTCGCATCTTCCTAGTCCGCGAAGCTGACGTTTTTTCAGTATTATGGAGACACAAACGAGCATCGTCGCAGGAAACGATCCGCCTGGAAATCATCGAAGCATCGTTGACGAAGCATCGACGTGACAACGAGCAACGACGCTTCCACGAAGACGTTCTACGTTTTTGGTATACTTATCTCATAAGCTCACTAGCTTTTCAGTGAACGTATTTACAGATCGAACGTGTATCGTTTGGACGTATCCAATCATTGGCGTCAACATAAAGTGACTTCGAGAACGATGAAACTCGCATAACACAGATACTCGCTTCCGAGATTTTCTGCAACGTGTATAAATTAAGTATCAATTATATTATAATATAGCTACCCTCTTTTTGGACGTTAAAGTACAGAGAACCCTGCAAATACACAAGTTCTGCGTCCATACTCTGGAACAGTACATCAAATTCAAGATTCGAAGATGAAACAATGAAGCTGTTCGAGTACCATACCGACAGTCCATGGTTTGGGGTCATTTAGAACGTTTACTCTGTCCGATCAATATTTTTAGCATGTTCCAATTTCTTAGTGCACGCAAACAATGGATTCAAATGATACAGAATTGTCTCATATTTTCGCTGGAGCGAAAATTTTTGTCATAAAATACGCCTCGTGTGGCAACGAAGTTCTCGCCGTTCTTTCAAAATTTTAACATTCCAGTGTCTTAATTTATGTCAATTTATGTCAATTTTCAAACCATTAAAATGGAATGTCAAGTTCAGAAAAATGAGCATTATCGACAGCTCCTTTTTGCTCAAGTTGAAGGTGAAACATATTCGACCCTCCACGAAAAGTTTTTCTGTATGAATCATCGTGGTCGCAATAATAACTCCAAGAGAAGAGGAAGCGAAAATCGAATAAATGACCCCAAACTAAGGTGAACCTTAGCCATAGAAAGGCCGCGAGCCTTTCTCGGTCAGACAGCGCCCGGGCTGCTGCCATAGGCAGAGAGGACTAACTTCTTCATCAACTAACGCAAACGAAGACGTTGCCCGAAAGAGCAAGGTCCAGCCTACCTAACTGCCGCAAGCACCACAGCTGATTTCATCGTTCCACCGACCTCTGACCTAGAAAAGACTCCTCTTAGTCTTTAGCTCTTCTTGGTCAGTTCCTGGAAGAAGGCCTCGATAGGCAGAGTGGGCTCGTCAGTGGGTATCTTGAAGTGGGCAGCGGCGATCCTGGTCTCCGGCGAAACGGCCTTGAACATCCCTGGCTTGTCGTAGAGCGCGGAAGCGGAGCTGGTAAGGTCGGCGACGCTCTGCGACGCCTTGGCGAACAGTTCCTCCTCGTCGACGGTCGACGGCTTGCTCTCCTCGGGCTTGTGCTCGCTGGGCTGCGTCGAGGGCTCCGCCTTGGCGGTGGTCGGATCAACGGCAGCGGCGGTTTCTTTCAGCTGGCTTTCCTCGGCATTTTTGGCGGTGCTGCTGGGAACCGGTTCGACCGGCGGGTTTTCACGTTGCGCGTGGAAACTGGGTCCGGTTTCGCTTTCATCCGCGTTCCTGTCCGCCCCCTCCACCTCGGCCGGCTTGACCGGGCTGCTAGCCGAGCTGGTGACCGGGCCGGCTTCCTCCTTTTCGACGGGGATCTCGTTAGCAGCTACCCTGGTGGTCCCCATTGTAGTCACGACCGAGTAGAAACTGGTCTCCTCGGCAGCCATTTCCGTGGCCTCCGCCTCTTTTCTGCCGGTGTACGCGGCGGTCGAGGTTTCCCTGTGCGCCGACAGCCTACTTTTCATCACCGGCCGCCGTCGCACCGACGACGAAAACACGTTCTCGGGCCTGGCCGTGCTTGGCTTCGACTGACCCTCCGTATCGTATCTAGGACTGCTCGTCGTGCCGGTTATCCTGCTCCTGTAGACGTTCCCGTTGATGGGCCGCCTCTTCGGGACGAACCTGGTCCTCTCCGTCGTCGAAGACCCATCTTCGATCGCGATCTCCTGCTCTTGGGTTTTCGGAGAAGGCGACGTGGTCCTGTAGTTCACCCTGGACATGTACTTGTACCTTCCGGTCGTCTCTCTGTTGCTATCTCCGGCTTGCTGTTGTTGTTGCTGCTGTTGATTCTGGCTCTGGCTCTTGTAGCTCGATCCTCTTTGCCTGGGCGCCGGCGTCACCGAGGCCTCGGTTGTCGAGACGGTGGCTAATCTGCTCTTGTAGTCGAGCCGACTCTTGTAATCCTTGATGCTGAACCGCGGCCTGGTGGTGTTGCCGTACCTCATCGGTCTGATCTTGTGTGTTCTGGTCGTGGAGCTAACCGTGGACGTCGTCGACGGAACGGTAGAGGTGGTTGTCGGAGCTGTGGTGGAAGCGTAGCTGCTCAAACTGCTGCCGACGCTGGCGCCCGTCGACACCGCCGTTGATTTATCGAAGTAATTACCCTCCGTCTTGATGAACAGGTTCTCCAGAGGGATGTTGGTAACCGCGCCGCCGTCCTGGACGTTGAAGCTCTCGTTACCGGGCAGCTCTTCGGGCTTGGACCTCGTGATGTCCGTCGGGTACTCCAATGGAGCGGCTTCCGTCGCGCTCTCGCGTTGCTCGTCTACCGAACCGAAGTTCTGGGACCCGAGGCCGTAGTGCTGACCGATCGGTTGGCTTGTAGCAAAATGATTCACCGGCTGATGGGTGACGAACTGATTCGCAGGCTGGCTGGTCGCGAACTGATCGATCGGCTGATTGGTCGCGTACTGATTGTACTCGTTGTGCACCGACTCGGTCGAAGGCTTGATCGTGTTGACAGTCGTGTGCACGATCTCGGTGACGATCTCCGCCTCGAACGGCTCGCCAGGGTTTACCCGGTTCCTGTGCCCCGGACGCTTCCTGATGTTCGCCTTCTTCTCGGTCACCGACTCTTCGTAGGACGTCTGCGTCGGTTTCACTCGCCTTCGTCGTGACGCGTCCAGCTGTTGCTGCACATCCTCCGGCTTCTCGTACTTGAAGAACTCCTCGGCGTCCGTGATCGGTTCCGGGGTCGTAGTCGTAGGCCGGCGACGACGCAGCGGGCTGCCCGGTCGCCGCGTCCTCGGCTTCTGCGTGGTACCCGTTGGCACCGTCGCCACTTCTTGCGGAATTGTGGTTTGCACGGGCACCTCTTCGATGCGCAACGTCACCGGCACCACGGTCTCTGGAAGTTGGACCGGCGCTTCCGTTGCCGGTGGCTCGTACGACACCGTGGTCGGCTTTCTTCGTCTATATTGATCGCGCGATAACTTGTGCGGCCGCTGCTGCCCACGGGAATCTGGCTGGGGCTCGCGATGCGCTTCCGGCTGATTCTTGAATTGATCGTGGTACCTCTGGCCAGAGCCTGTCGGGCTCTCCGAGATCACGTAGTCCGGCTGCGTCACCTGCGGAACAAGGCCGGAAGATAAGGTAAACGTACAAGAAGGGAACTCGTTTTGTGGTTTTGTTTCGTTAGGTCGTTCCGTTTCTTTTCCTTTTTTTGTTATTGTCTGATGTCTGCTCTTCGATTAAATTGGCAACGGACTCACCGAAACGATCTTATTTCGAGCTTGTTTCGTCTTACGAGGGTTTCATCTTCGATGTTTAAGATTTTAATTAGGGTGTTGAAAATTTAATTTAAATTAAAATTTATTTTTCTAATTTTAAAATTTAATTTTGAATAAAAATTTTAAAAGGGTGTTTTAAAATTTCCAAACGGCCTAGCCGATTAAGATGGTCACAATTGTTCTTAGAGGTTTTTTGATAAGTATAATATCGTTCGATAGATGACCAAGAAAAACTCATCTGTGCAAGATTTCAACCCTGTAACTTGTCCGTGAGGGTAGTTACAGGGTTAAATAGATCGCGCGCTTTTCTGCCCATTTTCTCCCTTCGGTGATATTTTAAAATTTTGAAAAAACGTGGCTTATTTTGGACATCGAGCCGCATATTATAGAATTTTTTCAGATTTTTCGGTTGCAAGCTGTAGTTATGAAAAATGGAAAACTAAAACAAAATCAGAAAATTGAAGATTTCTCGAAAACAAAAATATGGGTTTTTTTATATTAATTTTTTGATAAGGTACTATCACAAGCAATGCGCTCAATTTTTCTAAGATTTTTCGTCCGGCTGCATCATTGTCAAAAAAGAAAGAAAAATGAACTACAGCTTGCAACCGAAAAATATGAACAAATTCTGTAATATCCGGTCTGATGCTCAAAATAAGACACATTTTTTTCAAACTTTTAAATAGCCACTGAAGGGGAGAAATGGGCGGAAAGTTACAGGGATGAAATTTTGCACAGATGAATTATTCTTGGTCAGCTATCGAACGGTATTATACTCATCAAAATATCTCTAAGGGCAATTTTGGCCATCTTAATCAGCTAGGCCCTTTGAAGCTCTTCAGGCATCTACAATGTTACCCTTATTGCATTATTTTTCCTTTCTTATTTTACTAATAAGTTATAAAAGAATGGCACACGTGCATTTGTACAGGGTGTCCTGAAATTATTGTATATCCGGGAAGTGAGGGGTTCATGAGGTCATTTGAAGTAACTTTTTCTTCAGCGAAAATGCGATCCGCGGCTTCGTTTACGAGATATTAACGAAACACAGTGACCAATGAGAGGCAGGATCAGCTGGCGCTGGCGCGGCCGAGCCAATGAGCGGAATTGGGCTTCGCGCGCTCGTTGGCTGCGCCGCCTAGCACTAGCCGAGCTCGCTTCTCATTGGTCAGCGTTTTTCGTTAATAACTCGTTAACGATGCCTCGGAGAACACTTTTTTAAAGGAAAAAGTTACTTCAACTGATCTCAGGGACCCCACATTTCCCGGAAATACCATAATTTTGGGACACCCTGAATATTATGGAATATAATATGTTCTGGCGTCTTATATAGACACTGATTTTACTTTATACAATGCCATCTCAACTTTTGCATTTCATGCATTCATTTCAATGTTGCAATCATTTGATGCGAGAAAGTTTTGTATCCATTTTCGCAGTAATGTCAACTCCATGTATAGTTTTATAACTTACTGAATCATATCACATTCAAATTCTAGATGTTCGAATGGTTACTATAGCACTTTTTAAACATCGTCCTTTACAATTATTCATATCTCTAACACATACGCGACTCACGATTGTGCCAATTTGACGCGGGGCAAGAAATGAAATTGGGAAACTGAGGAACGGCTGAGAGGTAAGCAATTTACGATTACATGGTTCATTTACCTAAAATTCATCTTTGAGCAAATACAGTGATCAAGCAATGTCTTGTCGACTTTTTCTGTTATTTTTACCTCAAAGATTAAATATCGATACCAAATAATAGTACAATATCTCAGCTCTTACTGTTAGAAAAAACGAATGAATTTATATCTGGCGAATTTTGTTTGATTTTTCGCTACGAGTTTGACATAATATTGGGACAGTATCACTTTTTTGAAATATATTTGATAAAACATGCTTGTACAGTGATTTTCATTTATCCCTGTTCTCCGTATATTTGTTTACCAACGAATGTGAAAACGTCTGCGCTTTCGGAGTGTGACCAGTTCCAATTCCGATGCGAATACAAAAATCACGCCATGATAGCAACATTTCAAAACTAAAGGCAGACAGTTAAAACTTCCGCGATAGTGCTTCAAACGTATGTATTTGAAAATCCACTAATTTACGGGAAATCTCCCAATTCCTGAGATCGATGTCATACCTTTTTAAGTGACGGCTAAGAATGTAAGCGTTAAACGAGGTAACTTGACCATGTTGAATATTTGTTCAAGAATTTTCAAGTAGTACCAAAATCTGTNTTAAACGAGGTAACTTGACCATGTTGAATATTTGTTCAAGAATTTTCAAGTAGTACCAAAATCTGTTCTAAGATCGCGTGTTTAAGAATTTTTCATGTTCCCCGATATTCTTCAAAACGGAGGTACACATTTTGATCATCGTAACAGCTGACATCAGAGCCGATCCAATGACCTGTATCGCCTTGATCTTCGAATAACCTTGAGTACCATTTAAGAAAAACTTGGCCTTCAGACCTTAAAGATACGTAGAGCAAACATTTGCCTTTTTAGCCCATTTGCATCTGCAAGCGGAATAACGCGCGCGCGTAGATTGTCACTTATCGTCAATTAGTTAAGTATTTTGACGATTAATTACTAGATTAGTTAGCTGTCATCGCGAAGATACAGTAATGTCTCTCTAATTGATGGACCACAAAAATGGACAATGTGGGAAAAGGAGATACGAATATTCGAGCTTTTCAGGTCGTTTTTATGGTCATTGATTCTCAACAACTATAAAAACGGTCTAGAAGGCTCGAATAATCGTATCGCCTCTTCCCAAATTGTCCATTTTTGTGCACAATCTGAGCGTCAGTTAGGGAGACATCACTGTACTACGCTATTCTGCCTGAGATGTCTAAAACTCATTAGGCGCGGCTTATTCCGCTCGCTGATTAAAAATACGTTAAACAACGCCATCTTCTAAAATGTCTTTACACTTCCCTCCCCCCAAAACTCCCAAGTCTATTCAAAGCGATCAAGTTACGTTGTTCACCCATTACACAGACATTTGCGACTGCAGGTCAGCCAAGGGTGCAGACATCCGTGAAAACCGTATAGACTGCTCGGAGTCTCTACGGCAATAACTCGAGCCGCCTTTCACTGACCCAAGAAAAGGTACCTGGGATTGTTGGATCTTTGGCAGGTCGCCAATCTGGCTGTACTCGGTGATGGCCGCGACGGCATCGGTGGTAACCTTCGGGATTTCGTATTCCGGCAACTGGACGTTGAACGGCGTTTGCTGGTCGGTGACCTTCTCCAGCTGGTCGGACTGGTTCTTCACAGACTCCACAGCCAGCCTTGCTTCCTCGTCCTCCTTCTGCTGTTGCAGCAGCTGCCGGAGCTCCTGCTGTCTCTTCTTCAGCTCCTCCTGCTGCTGCTGCTCGATCTCGAGCTGCTGTTGCCTCTCCTGCTCCGCGAGCCTCTGCCGGTCCCTCTGCAACAGCTGTTGCTGGATCAAGTACTGTTGCTCGTTGAAGTGCTTCAGCGAGATGCTCTCGGGCGTCTCGTACTCCGGCTGAACGGTTTCCGGCCTGATATCGATCGGCAACACGGAGCTCTGATACTGCGGCGAGGCTGCCTGAGGTCCGACGTACAGCACCTTCGGCATCTGGGGGATCTGATTGGCCACCTCCTGGTGGAACTTGGACGGCGGGTTGACACGCGGCAACACTTCGTTGATGTCCGACGGGTACTTGTTCTTCGGCGCCGGCCAGGAGGAAGGCGGCGGCGTCAGATCCTGGTGCTCGGACACGTAATAGGTGTTAGCCACCTCCGAGGTCGGCAGGACCTCCCCGTGACCCGTGTTCTCCGCCTGCTTGGTCGTCGCGCTGTGACCGGGCCGATTGTAATCCTGCTCGCCGCTCTGCTGGTACTTGTTCGAATCCTGCGGCCGGGGAGTGGTGGGTGCCGGGGTGGAGGACGAGTAGACATCCGGTGGCAGCAGGGTCTCGTAAGGCAGCGACGGCCTGAAGTTGTACCCGTTGTACACCGAGGGCGGAGTGATGTAGCTGATCTCGTGGCTCTCGTGAACCAGGAAGGACGGGTCCCTTTCGTAAGACGTCTTGTAGGAATGCGGCGGATGGTTCACCTGGCTGAAGAAGTTCCCCGTGCTCGCGGGACTGATGATCTGCTCGTTGTAGACCTGTCCAGGGTACTTGTCGTAGTTACCTCTGTGATCGTGCTCGCTCAGACGTTTGTCCTTGCCGAAGTCGCTGGCCGCTGCCGTGCCAGGTGGCTGGAAGTAGGGTTTCGCGTTGCCGACCTTCAGCGACTCGAACGGCTTCGACTGCTGATACCTTGGCGGCTGAAGCAGCGAGGGAACGTACGGCACGTCCGCGAAGTGCCTGTTCTTCGTTGGCGTCGACGAGGGCGAGTTCGTGGTGGAGGTGTAGCCTTTGATGAAGTAAGTGGCTGCCTTTATCGGATCCGGCTGTTGGTGCGGCGGAATGAACTGCGGCTGCCTGAGGTACGCGGAGTTGTCTCGCAGGATCGGCTTCCTGTGCGCGTCCAGGTCGAACCTGTACGCGTCCTTCGGCGGCGGGATCAGGAACGTGTATTCCCGCGTCTCGGAGCCGATATGTTTGTTCAGGTGGTTGTGGGTAGGCGCCTCGCCCCGCGCTTTCGTCGCCGCGTGCCCGAAAACCGTGAAGCTACCGAGAATGCTGGGCGGACTGTAGTCGTGGGGACCGGCCGGCTTGTTTTTCCGCTGCGGCTTCAGCTTCTCCGAGGCCGCCATGTGCTCCTGCAGCTTGCCCATCACCGGGTGCAACGGCACGTTCCGCTCCAGGCTGCTCGCCGGAGAAACGTTCGTGCCGATCGTTTCCTCGTAGCTGTTCGTCAGCGGTCTCCATCCGTTTGCGATCATCGACGACCGCGTCGGTGGCTGAAAGAGGGTTGTACAGGCTTCGCGGTAAGCTCTCGGATGGCTTGCAAAATTCGATCTTCTCGGGCGGACCGCAAAGCGGAGTCTCGACTCGATGGATTTTAGGGAGGTTCTTATGGCGCCGCGATTATGGGCCAGGCTCTCGCGGAGAACGAAAAGAGCGCGCTCGGATAATCGGGCCGCAATGTTTGGATAGTTTGCGATTGATTCCGAGTCGAGTGTTTTACTCCAGTTTTGCGGGACCGCCGAGTTTTCGGGCGTAGAATGCGGATCGTTGCTTCTCGCGATACTCGACACGTTTTTGTGACACGAGTCACCGATTTTATACACGCGCAAGTGTTCGTCCACCTAACGGTCGCTGCATGTATAGGTAACAATTGGAAAATATGCAGGTTAAATTCGTAGTTGCTACACGTAATGACAAATTAAAGCTCGTGTGGCGGGATACTCGAACGCAACAGTGTTCGTTTAGTTACAGCTGTCCGCAAAAGTGTTCGTACAACTATTATAAAGCAATAACTTTTTTAAAATTGGACTAAGTGACTTGAAGTTTTTTTAAAATCATAGCGGGACTCCTCCAAGTTTATAACGCGATGGCCAAAATGCCTTTTTTAAATTTTGCTATTACTTGGAATGATAAAAAAAAGATAAAAATCTCTCGTTTTTTAACTTTTTTATCTGAGATCTTGGTAACTTATATGCATGCTGAAAATTGTATCGAAATCAGTTGACATTGTTACGAGTTACGACAAATTAAAGATGGCAAAAATCGCAGTTTTATCACGATGTTGACCAAATACTTGAAGAAATCTGCAGTTTCTTAAATCTCTCAACGCCTGTGGCTTGACCCTGGATTAACCGATTTCGATCAAAGTTTCAACACGCATATAAGTTAACGAGATCTACGAAAGACATTTTTTAAATTTTTGTTATAGGCTCTGATAAAAAAAGTAAAAAAACGAGAGTTTTTATTTATCTTTTTTGGCGTTCCAAATAACAGCAAAGTTAAAAAAGCGAATTTTAATCACTGTCTAGTAGACTAGTCCCCCTATCATCTACAAAAAATTCAAGTCATTTAGCTGAGTTTTAAAAAAGTTATTGCGTTTAAAAAGATGTTGTACGAATACATTCGTGGGCCACTGTATACTTGCAACCGAGTTTGTTTATGCTACAAAGTGTTCTACAGGGTGTTTCAACTAAAAGAAGCCATCGAAAGATCTTTACAATTTACAACAATGAAAAACGTGTTTACTCGATCAATATGAATGGTATCAAAGTTTGTTCTCTATCGCTTCATACAAATGTCGAGACAAGAAGTTCGACCGATGCGCCCTTTTCCCGTATCATCCGATAACAACGACGCCATTTTACACTCGAACACCGCTGTATAGCTAACCGGTTGTATACACTTCGCGAGAAGTTTGTACAGCAGTGAATCTGCGAGATAGTAACTTTACTTACGGGTTTATTATCGGAACGGTCGATCGATACGGTGATTGCGCCGATGCAGGTAAAAAGCCCCATCGCGAGGACACCTGAGGCATTCGCAACACGTCACAGGTAAGAGACTATTGGTGACAACTAATTAAAAGTCGCGCGTGGATCTATGTAAATCGTACTTACAATTCAGTGTTAGCGTCGGCCGCATTGTGACAGACCATGGGACCATTTACGCAACTTGGGGTTTCTGCAACAGAAGACATCGTCGATCGTTAAGGAAATCTGTCGGAAACATCGAGCTGTGTTTCGAAACGATCGCGTGGCTGTGGAAAATTATGTTACAGTTTGTATGTGCTGCGAGTAACGATAATATACGGACAACTTTTCGAATACAATAACTTTCTTATAGTTCGACCAAATAATATTTTTTTAATGTTGGATCAACCAGTTTGGTAGGCACATATCTAGTTCTAAGCTATGAATTGCGATTTTTTACGAAATGAAATAAAAACCACCTTGTATAAAGGACTTTTTTCGTTAAGTCAATGATCCTGCACACAGATCCTGTAATGTAGCAAATAACTATAAATAACTATAACCTATAAATATAACTATAAACTATAATTATAAATATAACTATAAACTATAATTATAAATATAACTATAAACTGTAATTATAACTATAAACTACAATTATAAATATAACTATAAACTATAACTATAACTATAAACTATAATTATAAATACAACTATAAACTATAACCATAACAAAAATAACCTGGCACGGCGATTTGGTAGTTTCAAGATTAAATTATTCAAGATTAATATAACTGAAACAGCTATCTCTATGTATCTACAGGGTGTTCTCCATAATTATATTAACTCTTTGGGGCACATGATTTCAGAAAATAAAATAGACCCATGTTGCACATAAATTGTATTGCGTTTTAAATTAAACGAAATTAGTATATTTTTATTAACAAAGGAATCACATAATATAAAAACATAAAAAAATAATTATAATTCAATTTGTTATTATAGGGTGGGATTCAAATAGTCCCACCATGCCACATGGTTTCATGAATGCGCATGCAGCTATTGCAATATTTCGAGGTGGGTCTGAAAATGTCCCACCATGCATTACCGTGCATCAAAAAGATGGGACATCTTTAATACCACTATTGCTCGAAGAGTTAACAGCTGGAAATGGTACCTGGGTCATTTGAAGCAACTTTTCCCTGAAAATGCTATCCGCGGCTTTGTTTACGAGTTATTAACAAAAAACGCTGACCAATGAGAAGCGAGCTCGACTAGCGCTAGGCAGCGCAGCCAACGAGCGCGCGAAGCCCAATTCCGTTCATTGGCTCGGCCGCGCCAGCGTCAGCTGATTCCGCCTCTCATTGGTCACTGTTTTTCGTTAATAACTCGTAAACAAAGCCGCGGATCGCATTTTCGCTAAGGAAAAAGTTACTTCAAACGATCTAAGGAATCACCTTGGTTCTATAATATAATTATAGGACACCCTGTATATTTCTTCATGAAACCAATTTGAAATTTTTCGTGGTCAGCCTGACGTTTCAAAATCCCGTAGAACCTCGATTACTCGAATTAATCGGACAAGCATAACTGTTCGCATAATAGAACAGTTACTTGATTAAAGCGCTAGATCAAATCATCATTGATTTGTATGATAAATGGCGTTGTATATAGATCGCCTTTGATCGATCTAGTACATATACAGGATGTTTGGACAATCAATGTTCGAACGTAATACTCACAGTGTTTCGCGGGTTCCGCAATCATGAATGACGAGAAACGCCCATTATTATCGTTTCATCGAGTTATCCCCCAGGCCGAGAATCTAATTCGGACACGCAACGATGAGAAAAACGCGGATCCTTAGAAAGCGGCGGTGCTTATCGGAGCGGCTTCCCATGTTTCCGGTGCCATTTTGTCATTTCTGAATTACGGTAACGGTGAAACTTGAGAAAAGACGGAAACAATTTCTCTTTTTTACGATTCCGCCACGGCAAATTGCGCTGTCAGCATCGGCATCGTCGACTTTCTGATCGCGAGAAACCCGAATCGCGCCGTAAAATCGACGTTTATCAGCCGAGAAAATCTGCTCCCCGCAATCCGATGATACTCGAATTCGAATGATCGAGTGGACTCGAAGCGTTTTCACGATTGCCAGTGGAAATATTGTATTGGCCCATGTTATGCAAGCCCCCAGAGAATCGAAGTTTTAGCTTCGATTCTGCAGAGATCGAAACCACAGTTTCCATATTTCTTTCCAGCTCGCAAATCTCTCTTTTCCACGTTTTACTCTTATTCCAATTTCGAATTGTAGTTGCACGAACATTGTTTGAATTGTGAAAAAGCGAGGCTAAAGATGATCTAGATGCGATAATTAACCCTCCGTCTGCAACCTTGTTTTCGTTAGTAAAATAAAGTCGAAACAAACGACCCAATATCTGCATATTGAAGCGTTGATTGTTTATTCCACATGATATTTCGACATATTCGTTTTTCATATATTTTTTACTCTGCTCCTGCAACTTTATTTTTATTGATAAAATAAAATCGAAAATAACCAACCAGACAGAGTGTTAATTGTTTATTTCATTTCGTGGTTTTATATGTTCGTTTCTGTTTATTTTTAATCCTTCGTTTGTAAATTTATTTTTGCTCGCTAACTAAAATAAAAAACGATCTAGTAGGTAGAGGGAAGAACAATTATTTATTCAATTTCGTAGTTCTACATATTCTCTTTTTTGCATGTTTTTCAATCTCCGTCTGCAACATTATTTTTATTGACAAAATAAAATCGAAAACGATCCAATATAAATCTTATTATTATTATCTATTTTCATGATTATGCATATAGATACTAAGAGAAATCTAAGCAATCATTTTCTCTCTATGTGATAATTTGAAATGAAATTATTAAAATGACCTTACCGATGATGACTTGTTGGTACACGAAAGAAGCGATTGATGTGGCTAAATAATTTATTAAGATGCTCTTAA